AGGACTAAGCGGTTTCTCCTGGCTTCTGGATTTCCATTGGGTTCTGCCACTCAGGAGCCCTGCTAGGAGATCTGAGAGAAGAAAAAGAATGAGATCAGGATATTTCTTCCTCTGGCTTCCTCCTTGGATGCTCATAGTGGGTAGTTTGTGCCCCTGTCAAAGCAGCTTCCTCTACCTGCCTTTCCCAGTCCCAGTCCCAGAAGTCTGCCCCTCTCCTAGTCCTTTTGCCTAGAGGTAGTTACTCCTCAGCTGCCATTAGTGGGTATTGAAATATCCTCTGTGATTTTCCAAATCCAAACCTGTATAAAGTTAGTTGTAAAGAAAACTGCCTTGAATTATCCTAATTTGAGTGTTCCCTTTTAAGTCTCTGACCAGCATCTATCAAAATCCTATCACAACTATAGTTTGTTTTAGAACCAGTTCCATTAATGTCATGGATGAGACAAGGATGCCCATTATCACTGCTTGAGTTCAATATTGCAAGGGATATTCTATTCCATGCAACAGTCAAGAAAACCAGTCCAAGGAACAAGAGTTGGGAAGAAAGAGAAAAAATATTCTTATTTATAAAAGATATTGTCTACATAGAAAGTTGAGAAGAATGTCTAGACAAATAGAATTTCTAAGGTATTTCAAGAGTTGAAAATTCATCGCACAAAAATCATTAGTTTTCGTATTCACCAATAATAATCATTTAGAAAATTAAATGGGAAAAATACCTTGTTTGTAACAGGAGGGAAAAAGCCTATAAAATATATCGATGTCCATTTTTAAGTGTCAACTTGGCTAAGCTACAGTCTCCAATTATCCCACCACTCATCTAGGTATTGCTGTGAAAATCTTTTGTAAATGTGGTTAAACTCCAGAACCCATTGACTTCAAGTAGGAAGATTGTTTTAAATAATCTGGGTGAGCCTGATTCAATTGGTTGAAAGGCCTTAAGAGCAAAGCTGAAGCTCCCACGAAAAAGAGGAAACTCTAATTATGGAGTGGCTTGAACTCACACCCTGCAGTTCCAGCTGCCCTTCCTGATGGCTTGCCCTATGGATTTCAAACTTGCTTTGCCAGCCTTCATAATCATGGAAGCTTACTTCTTACAGAAAGTCTCTTAATATGTATCTCCATCTCTCGGTTCTGTCTCTCTAGCTGAACCCTGATTCATAAAGGTCCTGGTAAATAAACCTCAAAAAATTGCACAAGAACCCTGTGGAAAAATGATGAAATATCATTGAAAGATCTCAAAATATGAGTAAATGGGGATTTATGCCATGTTTGAGATTTACAAGACTCAATATTGTAAACTTGGCTAATCTTCCTCAAGTTCACCTATTAATGCATTCCAGTCAGAAGACTGACAAGGTTTTTTGTGGTTCTTGCCAAGAAGATCCAAACTTCACATGGAAGAACAAAGGACTATGAATAGCAAAGACAATGCCGAAAGGATAAAGTGAGGAGACTTTCCATATTGCATATTAAAACTTGGTTCAAAGTTACATAGTTAAGACATTGTGGAATTCCTGTGGAGACACGAAGTAGACCAATGCAACAGAAGACTGAGTCTAGAAACAGACTCACAGAGCTCTGGAAATTGGATGTATGACAGAATTACCAGTTCAAATCAATGGTCAAAACATGGATGATTCCATGAAGAGTGCAGGAACAACAGATTGATCAAATGGGAAGAAAGTAAAATTTGATTCCAACTTCACACCTGCACACAAATGAATTTCAGGTCGATTGAGACCTAAATGTGAAAAGTTAAATATTATGAATTTTGGAAATAAATAATATTTTTTATGAACTTGGGGAAAATAAAAATTAATTAGTCAAAATACAAGAAATACAAAACATGAAGATTAAGATTGAGAAATCTGACATTAAAAAAAGAAATCTGTGTGTACACACACATGCACCAAACAAAAAAGCAAACCATAGATGAAGAGAAGATACTTGCAACACATATAACTAATAAAAGACCAGGTCTAGGATATATAAAGAACTCTTATGGATCACAAAGAAAAAGATCATAGAAAAACGGGCAAAGGACTATTACCTAAAGAAAGGGAATACCCTTGTGTCAAATTGTTTAATACCAAAAACAACAGAATGAAACTGCGAGGGCAGAACTACCCTCTTTATCTCTCATCAGCAGTCTTTATGCTCATCTTTCCTTCCTCCCAGTTCATTCATTCAACAAGTATTAAATACATACTTATTGATCACCTATTATGTGCCATGTACTGTTTTAGACACTCGCATTCATTAGTGAAGACAACAGACACAGATCCCTGCCTCTGTGAAGATTATATTCTAGCACTGGGGTTTGGAGAGAGGGCAGGAAGGTATTGAAGAAAATATACAATGGAAATAATAGATAAGTACATTGCTTGGTGTGTTAGATGAAAAGATGTGTTCTGGGGGAAAAAAGATAGTGAATGGTCAGGGCAGTCAGGGGTACTGGGGTGAGGAGTGCAATTGTCAATGAGTTGTCAGGATAAACCTTTCCAGGGAAGGTGAGATTTGAGCACATCTTTGGAGATTAGGGAGTCATCTAATCTCCATCTGATCACCTGAGGAAACACTATGTAGTGCGGTGGGTGGGGGGAACATCTGCACTTTAGGCTGGACCGGAGATGGCTGATTGAGGTGAATCAGGCCAGAAGCAGCAGTAATCATCACCTCTTCCATTGGGACAGGCACATTTGCATCAGAGTTCCCTGGAAGAGGCTCTCAGATTTTAGCAGCTCCAAGTTGGAGAGAACCTTAGTTCATGACCTGCTCTTTACTCGAGGAGTAGATGTTCAGGAAGTAGAGAGTGCCAAATATGCAACTCGAATTATTTAAGGTGCAATTAGACTTGGTTTAATAATTTAAAATACTTTTAAAATTTTTCTCTGGCAGAGATTAGGCTATTAATTAGCATGTCATGGGAACCCAGCATTTATTATTCTCTCAAAAACCCATTTGCAATGGAAAATGTACTGAGCCTCATTTGTGAAAATGATTATAGTTGATATCTTTCAGATATCTGCCAAGGTCCCAGTGATTGCCCTCTTCTCAGGGAGCTGCCTTCAGAATCTAAGGTGGAAGGCTTTTCTGCTCACATTTCTAATGCATGAGCTTATCCTCTGGTCATAGCTCATTGGACCAAAACCAGAAATATGAGCAAAGCTGAGCCAATAAAATCTTTTCTCCCAGGAATTTGGAATTGGAGCCAACAGAGCCAGGCCACTCTGTTTGACTGGAACTCTACGATGCAAATTAATGGTTGTATTTCACCAGTGGTCTTGAGGAGCAGAGAAAGTTGATTTGCAGGGAGAGAGTAAAGAGAATGCATGGACAAAATCTTAGGGGAGACACATAGAGTTCTCCCTTCCAGGTTCCAGGGCATAGCTCGTCCCTCAAGACCAGGTGCCTCCCAGCTCTTGAGTTCAGTAAAACACTCCTCTATCCTTATAATTCACCACATTGGTTGTTTTGGCTAGTCAGTTGGACTTCCAATACAGTGAGGCTACAGGTTCATAGAAGGGAGTGCATTCTGATTTTTTTTTTCCCTACCAGGGATAATGGGTCTCATCCTCATTTATGTATCTGTTCATTCATTCGCAAAATTTTGTGGGGCACATATTAGGGTGTTAGTGACTGAATATATTAAGACTGAATAATGCATACTCGTTGTGCCCAAATAATTTGTCTTGATCCTTCTTTTTTAAGGTGTTTGGTTAGGATGTGGGGGTGTAGTCTTTGAAACACTAGAGTTCTCTTTGAGATTGATGGACTCTTTTAACTTATTTAGGGTTGAAGATATAAAAAGTACTTTGTGAACTATAGATTGCTACACATTTACCCTTCACTGGTTATAGTAGTATCTTCTATTTGAGGTATTCAACTTAGATTCTCCATAGTAACATATATTAAACACACCCCTTTGAAAGGATACTTTTGATTTAGGAATAAAACATAAGTTTTAAAATTGTTCATTTTAGCTAGAGATATGCTCAGAAATTTAAAATCACTTTCTTTTTATTAAACAATATTTTGAGGTTTCTGATATTTTGGAAAAAAAGATGCTTTTTTGTGATTAAGGATATAATCCCATCAAATCAGCATTGTGAGCTTCTGGAGAAAACAGGTAAATAAAAACCAGCTGAAACAGAAATAATGCCTAACAATGAACTCAAATACACCTGGGATTGTTCTAGTCACGTGGGCGAATTATGTAGGAGGTGTTACTTGTCTCCAGTTTTTCGAATGCCAGTGATAGATCCTGCTCACAAGAAAGGCCCCAGCCTTCCTTTTAGCTGATGCTTATTTTCAAGGACCACTCATATCTCTTGCCCCTTCTGGGTTAGGGTTCTTAGAGTTTGCAGTTCTCTAGAGAAAATGCATTAAACATTTATTAAGGTGAGTGCATTTAAAACTCTTGCTCTGCTGCCTTGCAACCTAATGTCCTCAATTTCAACAACCAACGAATGCTTAGAAGAAGAAGTTAGGGACAGAAGGGCTGCAGAGGTCATCTATGCCCAGTTAAGAGCATGGGCTTTGGAGAACTGGTTGATATCAGGCCTCTGTTGTCCTTGTTTACTCTCTGAACCACATGTAGAAGGCAAAGATAATACATCCTTTCTCATAGAGGGGTATGAGAATTAAAAGAAGGATCAAGTTGTCTAGAGCATATCTGACTTCATTGTTGATATCATTCTTGTTGTTATTACAAGTGATTTCCCCATAGCCATCCAACTAATCAGAGCAAGCTTCAGGTCCTTTGACTCATCATGGCTAAGTCTTTGGTGCTATACTATCCTTCCTTCTTTTAGTGCTGGCCTTAAAATTGAAATCATCACACAAGGAAACCTGAAGAAAGATGGTCTTTGCATTGACAACATTCTCTTTAACATTAACAAGGTACTGATACCTTGTCAGTATCCCTCGTCTACAATTATAGTTAAAAAGGGATGTTACCATTAAATTCCTTATGAAGCCTTTTAAATTCATCTTACTTGAAGTCTTCGGGGTGGATGCCTTTTAATAATACTTGGTTCTCCCTGTTCCACTGGGATGTCAAAATACATGGCCCTGGGCACTTGAAGGATTGGAGGAGAAGCAAGAAAAAAAACCATTAGAAACAATTTACTATTAAATTAGGTTGATCATGAGTTTTTAGACTTTGTTAACACAATTTTGTTAAATATGTCTAAGCTATAGGTTGAATGTGGAAGTGAAACATATAAAGCGGGAGCAAATGAATACGAATAAAAAAATGTTAGCCTAGACCCAGCATTTAATTCCTCCTTTCCTTATTTTCCCTCCAGATTGATATTTAAAGGAAGACCTGCACAATTAAAAATTGTATTGATGGCAAAGGTTATTCAAACACAGGATTGGGCATGAAAAAATAATAATGTATTGATTTATTTTAATTTCATGAAATCGCCCCAAAATAAAATAGGAAATCAGGGGAAAATATAGCATTAAGAAATAAAAATAATCCTTTTTTAGATGAAATAGATGGATAGATAAATAGATAAGTATTAGATAGAGAGGTGATAAAGAAATGGAGCATGAGTGTGTAATAGGAGTATGTAATGCTGAGCATTGTATGTTCCTAATTAAATAGTCCCCCTAACTGGGGACATTCCTGCAAGTCACCACTATGATATAACATGTCAGTATTCTTTCCTGATAAAATAACTCAGGGCTAAGCCACGTTAGGAAAGAGAGGCTCAAGAGATCCATTATGAATTTGACTTTTTAACGTGATTATCCTGGGCCCTGGGCCTACTACCATGACCAGCAGTGTGTGAATGAAGTTCTTGTCCTTTCCCCTCAACAAGCTGGAAGCATTCTGATTTCTAGATTTTTTTGTGTAGATTATCCTACAGTCCCATTTTGCATTTTAAATGGAAAAACTCTTAGGTAATGATGTGTTTCTATCCTTAAGACATTTGAACGACCCCCTTAAGAACTTTGTTATATCCTTCTTTCCCTTCAAGATATACCAGCATAGTAAGCAAGACCAAAACAATAGCAATGGCAATGAAAAACATGTGGGATTTAAAAATCTAAATAGTTTCAGCAAAATTTTCTTCAGTAGCCTGACTACTCTGTAATTGTGCACTATGATTTGTGATATCACCCCATTATTTAATTTGATTCTCCTGAAATGGCATAGACAACGTCAGGCAGTTATTTTCACCCCTGGTTTATAGTTGAAGAAAACTGAGGAAGTAAAGTTTTCTTCCCCCCTATTTTTAAAAACATAGTAAATAGGCTATTGTTGAAAACTCAATGTCTACTTGAACCATTTATGCAAGAAGTTTGTCCTCTTGTCTTCAGGAAAAATTCCTGTTACCTCCCTATCCTCCTGTAGGGGGGAGGAAGTAAAGTCATATTATTTGGTGTTTGGTGGAGCTGAGGTTAGAATATTGGCTCCTTGAAAAGAGTGCTCAAAATGCTCACCATCTCCTAGTTATTTATTGTTAATGTGATTTTGCCGTTTCAAAACTAAGAACACTTCCAATTTAGTATGCAAATCCATTAGAATCAGCTTTTACCATTCAGTCTCTGAAGTCTTAAAACTCTGAATAAAGGGTTTACTTTAAAAAAAAATTCTTCAGCAAAATTAAGAGGAAAATTCCCACTCATGTCCTTAGAAGGTGGAAAAACATAAAAACATAGGCTATAGAACCAATCAAAAGTTGTCAGTTATAGAAAGTAGCCATGAAAATCATTCTAGGTGAGATTTACCAGTTACCCAAATAGAATATAAGGCTTTCTGGCCAAATTGACCAATAATGGTAGCTTATTTGTGTCATTGATCTGAAATGTCAAGAAAAGAGAAAATTTTATACATTTATATGTATGTTTACATTGTGTCTGTGTCCTTCTCTCCCCAAGTTACAATGTCTGTTTAACTACCATTGTGGTTGTCATAAAGCACTTCACATGTAAAATATCCCAGGATAATTTACAGCGACTTCAGGCTCAGAGCTTTCTATCATAATTGGAAAAAATTCTCTTAGTTCTGCAAATGACCATGAAAAATATAGGGGTGGGGAAAGGGTGATTCACCCACTCATCTGCACTGAAATAAGTCAGTTCTCTTTGGGGCACTTCCCAGGTTCACTTAGAATGAACCCCTGCAGTGTGGCTCTCCCAACACAAAGCCTGATGTCCTGGAGAGAATGATTTAAATTTAGACTCTAACTGAAACATGTGATCATGACAATTTATCACACATTTATCTAAATAATTTTAATTGTCTGGCAAAGCTAGCTATCAACATTGGAAGCACTATAAACTACGCTAGAACAAAAATCATGTTTTTCTTCTCACATGAATGAAATGCCGGAAAGCCCTTTATGCAGCTCACGTACCTGTTCTAATGTACCCAGAATACTGACAACTGACAAACATTCAATCTCCTACTGAAAGGTATTCCCTCATATTTCAATACTTCAGAAATTTTCTGAGATTATGGGGCAAGACAGGGAAATCTATCAATAGCTCTCTTTGGCACAAATATGCAAATGTCATGCTGGGTTTCGTGTTTACCTGCAGAATATCTCCCATACCAGGTCTCTCGCAGAGGTGGCAGCTGCCCTTCCCAAGCTTTGTTCCGCTCCTGCAGTCTTGCCAACGAATATGCGCTCTTTTCTTCCAGGTTCTGATCGAATGCAAAGTCCACAGGTGCAGTCGAAGGCGTTTCTTCCTCTTTGTTTTGAAAAGGTGCTACTTTGGTTACTCTAGAGTGAGTCTTAGAGGGGCTCAGGCCCATTTTACATGAAAGACAGTCAAAAGAAAACCATGAGGGAAGCGGTCTGGGTCCTTTAATGTCGGTTGTTTTAATCAAGATATTTCAAAAGTTTACCTGCCCCTGCTTTACAAAGCAGGTGTTTCCTTCCTGACATCTTTGTACAATTACTTCACCACACACTAACCCCTCTGGCCACTTCCTGGGAGGCTGGTTTCCATGGAGACTTCCCTTCAACTCCCACTTTGCCTTTTCAGACTGAAGGAATCCAGTTAAACATTGACTTGGTTATGCTACTTTCTGAAGAACTCAGAGGTAGGAATAAAAAACCTATTGATCATTAAACAACTCTCTGACACCAGGAAGGCCATTAATGGAGATGGAGAGCAGAGATTTAGAGAAGTCTTAACTTGACCTTTTCATTGCACGTACATTTAAACTCCATCTGTAAGAAAACTACCAACTGAGAAGAGCTAAATCATTGTTGGACATGAGAGGATGCATGCTAATCATTTAGGGCTTTGTTAATCTTTAATTTTAATTGAAGAACTTATCTTCAAATCGGTAAGGAAACAGCACAATGGCTAAAATAATTAGATTTTTCTGTCAACAACTTGAATTGCTTTTGAAGGACATGAATATGTTACAGGAGGATAGGGAGGTAACAGGAATTTTTCCTGAAGACAAGAGGACAAACTCCTTGCATAAATGGTTCAAGTAGACATTGAGTTTTCAACAATAGCCTATTTACTATGTTTTTAAAAATAGGGGGGAGAAAAGCACTGGAAAGAAATGTGCTAAAATGTTGAGTGGGGGTTTTAAATGATGGAATTATGGATGATTATTATTTCATTTTTTGTACTTAGAAACCTAACTCACTTCAGGTTCTAGTTGTTCATGCGCATAGATGACATGTTTTCATCACATTCCTGAAGAGAAGATCAAATAACTTTATTTTTCATTTTTGCAAAATTCATTTCCTAAGAGGCTAACATGGGTTTGGAAAATCTTGAGAACCAATAGAGTTCATCTAAAAAGATGTTAGTTGAATTTTTTCCTACTTAACTACCTTTGCATTTTATAACACTGTTGTCTGTGGCAAAGAGACTTGTAAGAAGGAATCCTATATCAACAGTATTTGAACAATATTTAGTTAGATTTATTTTTGGATACAATCAGTTTAAGTATTTCTAAGGTCAGGGAAAAGTATAGCAAACCAATAAATGAACGAGAAATTATATGCAGAACTGTGGACGTCGTGGATCTAGATCAGGGAGAAGAATTCAGCTCTCACTTTTTACTGTTATCTAATTTTGAGAGACTGTATGTGTGTAGATTTTCAGTCTTTGTAGAGGAATTTAGTTGTTGTGGAAATTATTTTCAAAATGAAGATTCACATTATGTTTGTTTCCTTTTTTATTATTAGCCACTGCCACACTTTGTAACTTGCAAAGCTTACTTAACTATTCCATGCCTCAATTTCCTGATCTGTAAAATGGGGTTAATAATAATTTATGGCAACAAGTTGATTCCATTGATTCCATGGCTCTTAGAATAATACCTGGCGTACAATAAGCTCAAAGTAATCTTTAGCCAGAATTCTCCTCCAGAGGAAGTATTACTGTGTGTCTACATGTAATAGGATAGTTCATATTACCTATTGGTCAGTGTCCATTAAATTAGACATATTGCTGTATAAAAGAGTTTACACCTAAGTATAGAAGAGACCAGTGAAGAAAGGCTAAATTAGTTGGGTCTATTTAACAACAGTGCTTAAGGACTACCATTTAAAAAGGGCTCATTTGTTGGAAGAGTTTTTATTAAAATAATGATAAAACATAATTTCAAGTTCATTAAAAGAGGGAAAAAATTTTGATGTCACTCATAGAGCTATATATAAGATATAATTTCTTAATCACAACAGTTGAAAACACTAAAAAGCTTTCACCCACCATAATCTTGCCTGCTCCCCAGATTATCTGTGATATTTTATAATGACTTCTTCCCAGATCAAAATGGTTATGAATATGCATTACTGTGTGTAAAAGATGATAAAATCTGATGTTATTTGTAACATGGTTCATGAATATGAAATAAGAATACGTTTATATATCTCTTAAAATGAGGCAGAGAAGGGATTAGTTCAAGTTTTCTAAAGTTGAAGGTAGTGCCCAGAGAAAACTTCATTAAGACAAGGGGAACAGAGGAAAGAGAAGTTGGTGGGGGAAGGAGCAGGAACTGATAGCCACGTGAGCCATTCCATAGATTAGGGACAAAAGCCACCAATTTGCAGCAGCAACACAGGCAACCTGACCCTGGAGTTCTGAAGGAATGTCCTTGCATAAGCTCCGAGTGCCCAGAGCTTTCTCGCCTCTTGTAGAGAACACCTGCCTTGAAGACAAAGGGCGAGCTAAGTACCTATTATCCCCCCTCCTACCTCTCTACTTTAGCCTTTCCATCCAAAGGGGAGGGGCAAGGCTACAAAGCTGCTTTCTCAACTAGAAATCTGCACGTTTGTTCTTGGTTCACTCCTAACTTGGGCAAAACTGTTAAAGAAACTTGTTTAGTGGATTTAAATTCTACACGGTCCAGCAGAAGGCCTGCTTGAGTGGGGTTGGTAGGGTAATAATATGGGTGTAATGGTTTAAAGTTTTAATTTGAACATTTCACCTAAAATATCATATGGAGTGCTTGCGTGCGATGTTATGCTACAGAATTACATGTTTATGATTTTGTAATAAAAGATTCTGTAATAATAAAAGATTTTGTAATAAAAAAAGGGGGGCGTTATTTGTGCCGGACCCCGTATAGTAAACTCAATGCATGGTCATAGGAGGTGTGCAGATTTTTCTGTTCTCTAATAGGAGAAAGCTTACCTTTGAATGATGTAGGGTTTTCAGTGTAAGTTTGGAATCAGAGAGTGGTACGGGGTCCTTTACACTTCCTTCGGCCTTTTACAGCCTGATTTACACTACAATAAATCAGCCTTTTACAGCCTCATTTACACAGCAGTAACGCAGCCTTTTACAGCCTGATTTACACTACAGTAACTCTTCGGAGCCAGAGAGACAAAACTTCTGCCTGCGCCCCCCCACCCCTGCCCGCCCCGTCCGTGTAGAAACATTACTTATTTTTGCTCGTAGGATTGTGATTTGATTAGCTCTTGCCTTACTTTTTTTCCTGGACTTCCTAGGCTCACCCACCCTCTCTGGATAAGATAGCTCTTGGAGATAGGAACCTGGGGAAAGAAAGTTAGATTTTTCTGCTGGTAGCTCAGCCGGTGCTTTGTGAATCAAACAGGAAATGAATGTATGGTGATTGCGATAGTAGAAGCAGTAGCAATAGATTCTAAGCAGCTACAGACAATGTAAAACCACACAAAAATGTTCAATGTCTGTGTACATTCATGAATAATACATTTTAAAATGTAAACAACCTAAATATAGAGAAGATTTTTTAATGGACTATGGATATACACATTCATATGTTTTATAGTAGGCAGGTGATGAACGCTCAGATGACTTTCTTTAGGATAGGAATGCGGTGTTCTGGAGTGAGGTTGGTTAAATTGCCTTTTGATCCTTCAGCACATGGCTTTCTTGAAAAGAGTTCAGACAGAATTGAAAACAACATGGGTATAAATATTCCTTAGGGTTGGATTGAATTTCACACATGGGTTAATTACTATGCATTGACCACCCAGAAAATGGGGTTTAAATCCTGTCTTTACAGGATTCTTAAATTATGCTTCTAAAAAAGTTACAGCCTTTTCTGCAGTTGATCTGAAATGGGTAAGTCATCACTGGAGGCTGTTCAGCAGTGTGAACTATGTGTTTGGATGCCACCTAGGCAGAGCAGATGTATGGCCAAGCCTTAATTTTCCTACTGGCGATTATTTCCCTCTATCTTGGTCCATGTGTTGGGTGGAAGGGGACAGTACAACTGGGCCTTGGTTTGGAGTTGCTGAAGCAAAACAAACGAAAAACTGCGAATTGAAACTTCTTGTATAAACTGTTAAATAAGGTCAGGTGAATTCTCTCTTTATCCTTTAAATGCAGTCTGCAAGTGCATCCCTGAGTTAAATGCTAAAACCAAACCATCACATACCTGCTGCTCTGGAGGCAGCCAGTGCCTGGGTTTCTTAAAGCGCATTGTTGATGAGTTTAACGTAGGCCAAGGAATTTTTCTGTATTTTATTTCTTATTGGGAGAACATCGACCTCTGGTTATAATGACCTAAGGTTTCCCTTTGGCTTCGTTTCCTCTTTTGTTCTGTTTATTTTCCATCGAATGTAACACCACTCGCTCTGCTCTGGCCCTCAGTCTGACAGGTCTTTCCTTCTGTCCTTTCTTCTTTCCTTCCTTCCTACAAGATTACATTTCAACTCTTGTCCATAGGTGTTTTTCTCAAGAATCTACACTGAAATATAACCTTTAACACACCCTTCCTTTCTGGTCTAGTCATCCAGCATACAGGCCTAAATCAAATAATGTGCACTTTTTCCTAAGGCAAAAGGCCTGCTCTTACTGAAAACTACTGAAACCAAATTTTGAGTCTCTTATTTATTTATTTTTTAGAAATGTAATTATGGACCCAGAAGTGAAGATGTGAACTTATAAATTTTAATACAGCATAAAAATAGGGTGAAGAGGAATATAGTGACCTCAGTGTTGTAGAGTTTGGGGTGGGCCAAGGTGGCCCACAGTGAAGCTTCAGCTGGTGTCACTAAACTAAATGCTACTCCAGCCAGTGCTAGCACGGAGCTCAGAAAGCTCAGTTGTCAGTGGATGTAAATTGCATCCACTCTGGGGCCTGCCCCAATCAGGATTTTGGTTTATGAAATCATTGATTTTTTAAAACTGCTTTGAGGTGAGATTTAGAGGACACCCAAAGATTTCCCTTTCTGCTCATTCCCTCTTTTATTCCTTTTACTTCCCATCACATGTGATGCCAAGACACACGGAGGTGCCACCCTCACTGCTCTGGCCTGCTGCCTTCATTTGTCCAGGTGGCCAGGAACTCTG